TTTTTCGTTATGGCAGGCGCAGGGAAGGAATCGCGAAAGTTAATTTAAATAAAAATAATCAGGTTACAAATGTGGCGAAATCCGACGAGGGATCTTACTCTGCGTCCCCCATCACTCTAAGGGGGAAAACGGGGTGAAAATAGACCTCAAATTACGTGAAAACCGCGGTTTTCAAAGTCTATGGGAAATTGCATTGACAATAATAGCCCGCCATCTCGTGGCCATTTTGCGTCATTGCAGGTGGAGTACGGAAATTGCACAGCAGAAACAGCCTGCCACCTGGTGGAGGTTTTTCGTTATGGCAGGTGCAGGGAAGGAATCGCGAAAGTTAATAAATAAAAATAACCAGGTTACAGACATGGCGAAATCCATGCGCTGTTCTCGCCTTCTCTCCACTCTCCGTGCTCTCGGATCAGGAGGGGGCGATCCCTGCTCATCACCTGAGTTCTGTCTCTGCTTAGCCACTCCTGGTCATCCTGCCCCCCTCTTCCTCCCTGCCTACAATCCATCCCAATCCTGAAAGGCCCTGGCTGGACTGGGCCTGCTCCTCCCCATTTTCCTCCGAAGCCAACAAAGCCGCCCCCTCGATCTCTGTCGGCTCCAATTCCCGATCATCTTCCCCCGCAGATTCAGGCTCCGACGGGGACATGACAGACTGGGTGGAACTCAATTTCTGGGTGTTGAAGTCCACCCATCTCAAAGTTTCCCAGGTTGAGAAACGCTAATCTAGGATGATCTATTTTTAACCTCAGGTGCTCAATCAGGGGGTGTCATTTAGGGGGAGTGACTCCACCCCCACTCACTTTGGGGTCACGATACCAAAACCTCAGGCGCCCAGAACCTCCAGGGACCCGATTAAGTTGCAGTGCCGGGCCACGGCCAGATCTCTTCAAGGGAGGCATTTGCACTAAATTAGCCACGGGCACCAACCCACAGTGGGGTGATTCCATTATCTGCGTGTCGCAGGGAAGGGACGGGGGGATGTCACCGAAAATGCTCCCCAACCCCGTCTCCTCATGCCAAGCTCAGCTTCTCACCTGGGACAGGTGCCTTGACTGGCTGAGGGACGTTTCCCCATTGACAATCTAACCAAGGAGGGAAGCAATCTGGAATTAAGGAGGAATGTCCTAAAAATGAGGACCATTAACCCATGGAACTGCTTGCCACCAGAAGTTGTGGGTTAACATTACCTCCCTGATTTCAACAGTCAGGCAGTGTGACTTTGCAATCTGTCGGCGCCTGTTGTGTTCCTCTTTTCCCAGGGTTACACAAAGTCACATCCAGAGATTTGACCCACGAAAAATGGAAGAGCAGCTGCAGGGCACTTTCTTCCCCTCCCTCCCCCAGCCCAGTCTCGTCTTCCTTTTTATAAATGCCCCCAAACCGTCCCGTGCTTTTAATTTATCTCTGTCTGGTTGCACGAGAGCAAAATAAAATAAAATAAAATTGCAAAGTGATGAAAACTGGCCGGATCAAAAGAAGGAAGGAGCGTGTTTTCCCAGGCGAAAAAGCAGAAGGTTCGCTGTTGCTTCAGCAAAACTGGTCAGGAGACAGCAAATAAATAATAACAACAAGGATTAAAATTTGCTTTCTTCAGCAAGACGCTTCCCATCGTGTTTCGCTTGCCGTATTTCGTGCGTGCCAGTGGGCCTGCAAGACTTCATGCTTTAAATAAACGATCAAAATGAGACGGTGGGATTTCAAACTGCAGGATCCTGTGAATGTAGTTTTGCAAGATAAGAGACTGCGTAGCCCTCAGCTACACAATGGGCTCACAAGAGACCCTCCCTAGTTTCTGAAGCTGTAAAAATTGTACTTTTAGATCGAACAGGATTGATATCAGCTGTATCTGATGGGCTGGAGGGGAAACAGAGAAGTTCATTCTACTTGATTGTAAGAACATAGAACCGTAGCGCTGGAAGGGACCTTGGAGGTCTTCTAGTCCAGCCCCCCCTGCCCAAGCAAGAGACCCTAGACCAAATGGCTGTCCAATCTCTTCTTGAAAACCTCTAGAGACCACAACTTCTGGAGGCAACTGATTAATTTTTCTCTGATTGGACACACAAGGAATTTGTCTTTGGTGCATAAGCTCTCAGTGTCCATAAAGAAAAACTAAAATACATTCATCAAAAATCATAAGAAAGAACACTTAGTGATAGTCACAGGTTACTAATAAGCAATCAAATCATACTAGGAAAACAAATAAAACAATATAAATTGTAAAGATACAAGCAACACCGTTATAAGTGGGAAGAGATAAGTACTAGGAAGGAGGAGAAGAATGATAGTAATAGTAGTGCAGACTTTGTAAATAGTTGGACAGTGTTGAGGGAATTATTCGTTTAGCAGAGCGATGGAAGAGGGGGAAAAACTGTCCTTGTGTGTAGTTTTCCTGGTGTGCAGGGATCCATAGCTTCGTTTTGAGGGAAGGAGTTGAAACAGTTTATGTCCAGGATGTGAGAGTTAAAGTTCTAAATGTAGAGCTTTACTTTTCTCAACCACTGAATTTCATTTTGTTAAATATAGGGCCCAATGCTCAAGTCTGTCCACCTCCTTCTGCCTCTTGAGCCTATTTGCTAAAGTAGGGGTGAGTCACCCCCAACTTGGTACCTTCTGCAAATTTTGATGAGTTCCCCTTCTTTTTGGAAGGAGAAGAAGTCGAAGGGCCCAACCTTCTCTGTTTCGAAAGTCACCATTTGATTGCGGCCGCAAGCAAGAGGAAGCAATTGAAAGGGGGGGAAGAAGGAAGGGAAACTTCATTTTCTCTCACTCAGCCAAACTCGGCCATCTAGGACTTCTCCTCCTCCTCCGTCCCATCGTCCTTCCTGCACCCAAGTGGGACATTTGTCTCCAGGAACCTGGTCGGGTTCTGGTCTTTCTTTCCAGGAGGTAAGTGGTATTTGGGGGTCTCCTTCCCGAGGGGTCTTCAATTCAACTTCGGGATTATCCCCCAACTTGGCCCCTTTTAGGCCTTTTTTTCTGATGGACAATCCTTCCCCAGATGGTTGGAAGAGATGGCTGCTGCTGCGGAGGTCCCTCCATCTGAAAGCAGTTGAGGTTCTCCTGGATTTCCTGCCCAGCAAGACCCAGGAACCGTGTTTCTTCAACCTTTGAAGAGAGTTGGAAGGGACCTTGTGGGTCATCATTCTAGTCCTTGGGTAGCTTGAAGAGGAGGGGTGGGTTTCAAAGTCTGGATTTTCCAGGGCACTTTAGCTTCTTCCGTTCCTGTTTGTTTTGTGGTCCCGCCGTTTTTTGCTCACAGGCAGACAGTGTTTCTTGTAGATCTTCCCAAGACCCCTTGTTTCTACTTATGATGATGATGATGATGATGATAATTATGTCATTTATGGGTTCTTCTCTGTGTAAATCCAAGGCTAAACCTGACGCTTACAGAAGCTTAAGGTTGGAAAACTCTGTAGTAAGTTGGTATCTCCTTTTGCTCAGTGGAACAGAGCAGCACAACAGAGTTGGAAGGGACCCTGGAGGTCTTCTAGTCCAACCTTCTGCTTGAGCAGGAAACCGTTTCATACGGAATGATAGAGTGACAGAACAACAGAATGACAAAAAGACAGACAGAACAACAGACAGAATGACAGATAGAATAACAGAATGATAGAATAACAGAATAATAGAATAACAGAATGATAGAATAACAGAATAGAATGACAGAATAATAAAATGATAGAATAACAGAATGATAGAATAACAGAATAGAATGACAGAATAATAAAATAGAATAACAGAATAATAGAATAACAGAATACTAGAATGATAGAATAACAGAATGATAGAATGACAGAATAGAATGACAGAATAATAGAATAACGGAAGAGAATGACAGCTAGAATAATAGAATGACAGAATGACAGGCAGAATGAGAGTGTTGGGAGGGACCTCGGAGGTCACCTAGCCCAACCTCCTGCTCAAGCAGGAGACCCTAGGCCCATTCCAGACCAACGGGGCTTTCCTTTCTAGCCTTCTTCCTTATGGTCATGACTTGTAAAGCGGCTTGTCCAGAAAATAAACCACCCACAATTGCAAACAGGAGGTCTTGAAAACTGCCTCTGGCACCATGTGAGAAGTTCCTGGGAGGTGGGAAATTTCCCCCCCTTTCCCTTCCCCCCACCTCCATAGAAGGGAAAAAAAGGTGTGGGGGGGTTGGAAAGGAGGGCCTGACACCCCCTTTCTCTGCTCACAGCTACAGAGTCAAGATGGCGAGCCCCCTGTGGTTTGCAGCGGCTGCCCTGATCCTGACGTTGGAGGTCGTGGTTGGCCAGCAAAACGTTTGCAAAGCGTCCGACGGCAGAGACGGCCATCCGGGAGCCCCGGGCCGGAATGGAAAACTGGGCCAAAAAGGAGACCTGGGTGCCCCAGGTAAAATTAAAAAAACGATGCCCGCCTCCCCTCAACTTTGCTCCAGCAGGGGGGGTTGGACTAGATGACCTCCGAGGGGCCCTTCCCACCTGATTTTTTCTCTCTCTCTCTCTCACTTTTTTCCCCTGTTCCAGGCTTGGGGACACG